GTCTTATACTCCAAAAATATGGTAATTCTTTTTTCTGGTTTGGTGGATCAAGCTGTGGTTCCTCAGTTGATCCAATTCCAATTTCACCAAACTCAAATAATGATCATTTTGAAATTTAAAAACAATAAATTAGCTAATTTTAGATGGTATCTGAGTTAGATAATCTTAATGGTATTACTTCGTAACAAATCTTACTTTTGTAAAGTATATTAAGAAGGATGAAAAAAAGAAAGGGATTATTTAATATTTTACCTATGGAATTATCTGTGGATTCACTATTGCCATAATTTCAGCAAAAAAGAAAAATTATGATTTGGCATGGAAAAAGCAACTTTTGTCTTTTTACAGGAAATTAGGTATGTCCCAGTAGTGAAAGCTATGCAGGTTTGATAGGCAGGAACCAATCAGATTCAGTTCTACCAAGACTATGGTGGCTTTGGGTGTTTGACTCACACAGATCTGGGGAGATTCCATCTTTAATCTTGGATGGTATAGCATTTTCCCTTTCTAGGCTGACATGCAATCTGAAGGTTTTCCTGGATTCACAGCTCCTGCTTGAAGAGCAGGTGTCAACTATGGCCGGGAAGACCTTTCTCCAACTCTATCTGTTGTAGCAATTGTGCCATTTCCTAGATCAGGGGCCCCTCATGACGTAGTCACCTCACAGCTTGACTACTGCAATACACTATATATGGGACAGTTTGTGAAGACCACCCAGAAGAAATAACTGATACAGACTGTTATCTGCTTTTGAAAAACTTCCATAAGCATTATTAAAAAGAACTATGCATAATTTCTTTCAGAGTAAGCAATTTTATGCAAAGGAAAAAAAAGAAGTAATAGTAAGCCAAATCAATTACAGACATGCACAAATATAAATCAAACAAAACATACAGCAATACAAGTAATTTAAAGAAATACTAATGAATATAGTAATCCATTTCTTTCTTTCATTACTTCCACCACACCCATATATTGCTTCATACATTGTTTTCTGTTTTTAAAAATCCTGGCCTTTAAAAATGTGTCAATATATTGCATATATTTCCTAGTTGATGGTATATGGACAACAATATTTTGACTTGGTAGGTAATCATGTAAATTCCATAGCTTCGAGTAAAGCTGGGCTTTGGTTGCTTTTTATGTAGATACTATGACTCAAAAACTGATAGTATCATCTTTGCAAGTAGCAAAAATACATGCCTAAAGCTGCAATCAACTTTAGATCTTCTCCGTCTTATTAAAAACATATGAAAAGCCTGCACACAAAAAATGTTCATTGATGAAACATCAAAATCAGTTACCTGAGAACAATGTGGCTTGTTTGCAAAATTATGTGAACATGAATAGAATAGCCTTACAGTACTTACGTTTTGTTTCAGCAATAAGCTGATCCTTAGCATCAAACCAATCTCTATATGTTTTTATTGACTGTGAAAGGCAGTCTCTCTCTTGAGTAAGATTTGACATCTGCTGTTGAACCTTATAATCTAAAGACAGAAAAAATAATTCATTTCCCCCCTTCAATAACAAATACACATTCAATGAATTAATTAAAGAAGATACAATAACAGAATACTAGAGTTGGAACGGATCTTGAAGGTCTTCTAGTCCAACCTCCTGCTGAAGCAGGAGATCCTCCCATTCTGGACAAATTGCTGTCCAATCTCTTCTTAAAAGCCCCCAGTGATGGAAAACTCACAACTTTTGAGGGCAAGCTATTCCATTGGTTAATTGCTCTGACTGTCAGGAAATTTTTCCTTAGCTCTAGATTGATTCTCTCCTTGATTAGTTTCCATCCATCCTGCCTTCTGGTACTTTGGAAAATAAGTTGACCCTGCTCTTATTGTGGCAGCCCCTCAAATATTGGAACACTGCTATCATGCCACCCTTGGTCCTTCTTTTTTACAAGACATACTCAATTCCTGCAACAGTTCTTTGTATGTTTTAGTCTCCAGCCCCCTGATAAACTTTGTTGTTCTTTTTTGCACTTTTTCCAAAGTCTCAACACCTTTTATATATTGTGGTAACCAAAACTGGATGCAATATTCCAAATGTTGTCTGACCAAGGCATTATAAAATGGTATTAATGGTTCACATGATCTTGATTCTATTTCTCTGTTAATACAGCCTAAGACTGAATTGAGTTTTTTTGTTAGCTGCAGCATACTGCTGGTTCATATTTAAGTGATTGTTCACTGGAACTCGAAGATCCCTCTCACAGTTACTGCTATTGAGCCAGGTTCCATCTATTCTAAACCTGTGCATTTGGTTTGGAAATAGCTTTTCAAACATTATAGAGGAAAAGGATACATTTTAGAAAATAAAAAGTTGGAATCATTGAAACTCACCATTATAAAACATAAAGGTTAAAAAATAAGGTTGCAAATGTTTCCAAGCAGGTATGACTGGCTCCAATACAAGAGTATACTCGGTTTTATTTCTTCCTGGACTATTTTCTGCTAGCACAAGAGCCTGAAAAAATGATTTCCATTATATATTTAAGAATTATTTGCCTAATGTGAATATACATTTAATTAGTATATAAAGCCCTAACCTTTGTTCAATACTAACAACTTCAAAATGTTTTTTCCAAAATAAGTGGCACCTGTTATTAGTAGCACATTTTTGCAATAAGCAGTTTACATTTATGGTTCCACTCAATTTTAAAATAACCCAAACATAATGACTACAGAACCAGATATATACTATGCAAAAAGAACAAAACTAGCAATCCCAAATATTATTACAGGTAATCGTTAACAGATGGGGACTGGAATTTCAATCCTAAATCATTAGGATTGTAAAGCAAATCATCCTATGACCAGCCCTTTTTTTACAAGCTTTTTCAGTGGCAGTATTAAGCAATCAGTAAGCAAATCTATTCTTCCAAAAGGTAACATTGCAAATTGTGACTGCAGGACATTACAACCAATCATAAATGTGGCCCAGTTGCTACGTACCCAAAATATGGTCATGTGACTGCAAGGGTGTACAGCATGATATTTTATGATGGCCTCAAGTACTTTGCAGGTTATATAAAGCACACTTACTGAGGCAGCTGTAACTTTAAATGGTGGTTAAGCAATAGAATCATGCCCATTTACATTTTCTAAATTATAGGAAAAGCTAGGCAAAGAAAGGTAAACATTACGATAATAATATGCATGTGAACATAGTAGACTGCTGATTTCCATTCCTGAATTATTTATTGGAAGATTATTTAAGGAAGCTCACCTCAATTTCAACAATTCCTTTGTGAAAAGGAAATTCAACTGTACTTGTTTCACCCATAAACAGGGGACTATCAAGGTCGTTCTCAGTTGAACTTTTGATTTTTGCTACAATTTTCCCATCTAAATCACTTCCTGTACGGTTTTTGTATTCATCCTTAAATTAAGAAGACACTTAAATTAGCAATGAATTTTTTTAAAATGTTCAATACATATCTTAAAACATATACAAAATGTACCTATATTTGGAGTTTGTATTCAATTTGCTTATGGTACTATTTTTTTAAATTTTATAGAACACCATCCACAGACTGAAGGTCCTGAGTTTAACATGAAAATTATAAATTCTTTTTAAAAACCATTTTATTAAAGATTACACAGAGAAAAATAAAAATTGAAACAAAATATAAAAATTGAAAAAAGTGCAGAAAAGAAAAAAGTGGAAGAAAAAACCCATTAGTAAGTAACTTTCGTCTTAATCTTGAAATGTACAAACAATTTTGGTAATGTATCACCATGTCTTAAAAAACATCAAATGTTGTCTACATTCTATAACTCATCTCTTATATTATAGAAAAAAAACCTTAAACTTTATTATTCATTCCTAGTCAGCAAAAGTCCACTTAAGGTTGCAGAAATAACTGCATATTTATTTCAACCTTGATCAAATAAGTCATCTTCTTTCCTATACTTTTAACAATTATGGTTTTTAATCCCTTCAAATAATGCCCCCCCCACTTCAGTACTTTTCATCTTCTCTTTGTCTCTTCTCAGCAAATCCTTCAAAACTTTAATAAACTTTAATAAACTCCTTTAAATAATGTTTTGCTTAAATGATGTTGGCTAACAAAAATGGGTTTTCTTCTTTCTCTCTATCTTGGTATCATCTCTGTATGGACTGCAAAGCAACACAGCAATCTTTTTATAGACATGTAAAATATCTATAAAAAGCTCCTTAAAATGTCACAGTGAACATGAAGGTTTGGGAAATTAACAATTGGATGAAAAAGACTTAAAAAGTGAACCTTTAGAAACTGCCCTGATTTGAATCGGATACAGATTTCGCCTATTTGTATAAATATGTGTATATATTATGTATGTACAGTATGAATGTATGTTTGTATGTATGTATATAACTTCATTTTAAACCACAATTCAATTAATCACCGTTACAATGAGAGTCAGGTTCTTGACAATGGTCCGACTGTCAACATTCTGAACATTAAAAACAGCAGGGGTCTTTGGCAAAGTTTGTGGCTTCAACAGTGCTGGTTTGTTTGGCACCACATCAACTATAATCTTGGGGAAAAACACAATATATAGAGACTTAATGTACAATATAGAAATTTATCAACAGCATTAGCCCTAATTGCAGAAGTATCCATGTATATTCTTGTCATATTTCACTACTTTCTAGCCTGGGCCTATGAACCAATTGGCAATGTATTATTACTCCAGTATCAATGTTGAAATTGTGCTGCTTGTTGGTTTGCTTAAAATACACTGTAAACTACTGGTATTTTAGAATAATTGGTTCAAGATGCTTAAGTAATTTTGTTTGAATTTATGCTTTTATTCTTTACAGCTTTTTTATAATCATAAAACACATATCACAGAAAATAGTAGCATAGTTGATTAATTCATTTCCCTAAATTTCATCACTGGCCACACAAAAGTAGAATGAACTAACTTCCCTCATTCAAATACTTTTCTGAGAATGTTATTAGCATTTACTCACTGTTTCATATGATAGCAATGGACTAGAAACATACCCAACAGAGCTACGTATTTATGACTTTCTATAATTATTGAAAACTATAGATTCTCTTTGACAGGACTGGTTTCTTAGTGGCCATTTAACATTATGAAGGACTCCAAAAAAGTACCTAGGACCCAGATTCAAATTCTGATGGCTGCCCACCCCATCACATGATTGCAAATATGTGGTAACTGGTCCACATTTATGTGACTGATTTATAACATTCACCCACGCACGCCCCCAGAAACTGGCATTTGGCTCAGGTTCCTGCAAAAACACTTATTGCAGAAAATGAGTTCACTTAATGATCATAATGTTTGCTTAACAATAGAAATAGTACTTAGGCTTATATACTGTTTCACAGTACTTTACAGCTCTCTCTAAACAGTTTACAGAGTCAGCATATTGCCCTCAACAATCTTGGTCCTCATTTTACCGACCTCAGAAGAACGGAAGGCTGAGTCAACCTTGAGTTGGTGAAGCTTGAATTGCCAGACTGCTGGCAGCCATCAGTCTGCAAACTACGGATTTGTTTAATAGCCATTGTACTTAATGAATGCTGCAAAAATATCATAAAACTGGGTTGGTCACAAGATAATATTTTAACAACCGGCATGGTTACACCATAACTCTGGGCTTAATTGCGGTTGTAAGTTGAGGGCTACTTGTATTAACAAATAGACAACCACAGACACTAAATTTATGTAAGGAATCTCACAGAGATTTGTATTTTCCCTATTCACTTATACAGTCTTGCCCTCTGATAATGTCAACTTATAATGCTGGAAAGAGGAGGACAATACTTCCTATATCCACAACAAGCCACAGAAGAATGAATGAAAATCCCAGCTTCTTCACCTTGCCAGCCTAAATTCTTCAAATCCAATTGAAACAAGTCCTGATCTTTTGACCCAGAATGCATGTGACAAAAATGCTCCAATAAACGGCCGGGGCGGGGGGATAACAATTAATAATTACTGAATAAAGTTAATCCTCTGAAACAAAAGGCCTTATTTACAAAATTAGTATCCTCTATTTGCATGTGGCAAATATTCTCTACACAATGAAGCACATAGTTACAAATGCACAAATTTCATTATTTCCTTCCAGGAGAAATAGCAACAAATGAAACAAAACATAGAAAATGAAGGAAGAGATAGGGGCACTGAGAAAATGGATGGAGATGAAATAAGAAAAGATAATGGGAAATGGGAAAAGTAACCATTTTTAAAATAATTTAGGTATTATGAAAAGATTTAAAATTCATTAAGCACCAGAGGTGGGTTCTGATGGGGAACAAATAATTGCTAAAGGCATCCATACAAGAAAAGTATTCATCCATTTTTATATTCCATCAATTTGTTTTCAACAGCTTCTGTCACGTCCATAGGTCTAGGAAAGGTCCAATTGGACAGTGCATGAGTAACTTCAACTATATAAAGCCAAGAGCCAGTAGTTCTCACAGGACAAATATTTCAGTTATGACAACAACAACCTCTCAGTTTTAATATCATGCAATGCAGATAGGAAGTGGGGTGAAATAAGTTTAAATTGTTATGGGTATAAAATATAACTGTCACTTATAGAGGGCAATCAGTTCTGTATGGCTTCATTCATTTTTGATAAAAATTTGAATCAGGTGATACCACTGGAGCAAATTTTAAATCAAGCAGCCTTATTAAACTGTGTAAAGTTGGAGGTGTTTTCATTTTCATTTTCATTTCATTTCATTTGGTTTGTATGGTTTTTTTTAAACCCTATCCTGGACCAAGAAATCTAAAACCAACAAAGATATCAACTGATTAGATGATCGTTCTGGTATATATATTTTTTTAATTTCTGGATTAAGATAAAACTTGCTTATGCATGCTAAAAAAATCAATACAATTTGTATCTGGGCAAAATCTTACCAGAGAAAAAATAAAATACAATTTTAAAAATGTAAAACACATTTTTACATATTATTTCAAAAGCTCACCTCTTTACTGCGAAGAACACTGGTTTCATCAATTGTAAATATACATTGGATGCTGTATTTGGTTGCTTTTTCTGGAACCATGTTATTCCTAAATTATAAACACTAATGTTAGTATTTCTTTAAAATTTACAACACTTAAATTCTCAATATTTTTCCCTATTAAAATTTTACGTTGCTCTTTGAACCAAATGAATCAAAATCAGTTTTTTAAATTAACTTGTTTTATTATAAAATAATAAATGGAATTTTCATATTTAATGTCTGCAATACTTGCTATATACCACATTCCTGAAATTCTCCGTTCTCAATCCTTAAACTTTCTATTATGTCATTCCTGACATCCATATGCTTTAATTAACTTAATTAGTCTCAAATAAAATTATACTTTTGCATATATATTTTCAATTTTGAAACACTATTTTAGACACAGATATTTAACAGACAACAGGTATATCAATACCTAGGTGGAAAAAAATCATACCTGCAATATGAATTTCAATCTTAATAAAAATTAATTACTGCTAACAAACCAAACTATACTTAAAAACAAAATTGATTATAGTTTTTTGTAAGCATCATTTTTTTGTAAGCATCGTTATATTAGAACTACTGTAAAAAACATTATTTGTTAACCTGAAGTAAAAAAAGCCCTCATCATTGTCATTGTTTGCTTTGGTACACTGAAATGTTGTAATCTAAAAAAAAGAAAAAAGAGTGAAAAAAGCCACATTAGATATGTAAACGTTTAAAAAGTAATTTTATTAAATTCAGTTACTTTGAATTCATGAGAATCTAAATAAATAAAATGATACATTATTTTAACTAAGAACCTAAAAAGTATATACTATAAACGAAGCTCATTTTTAGTTTTTAGTCAAAACCAAATCAATAGATTATCTTAAAAGACCAAAATTCAGTGTTAATTATGTTGATATTTAAGGTTAAAGAAAATGTAAAGTAAAATGCATACAGAACAAATTCATACAACCATTAAAATTAATGGGTATGTAGCAATAGGAGAGAATAAACCATACATACTAGACAAACTAATTGGACTCTCCAATAGAAAGTATTATTTTTCAAACTCAAAAGCACTTATAAAATTATTTCATGATCAAAATAGATAATAATGATGTGATTCTTCATGTAGTCTCATCTCTAACTTCTCTGGGTTTTAAGGATACCGAAAGCAATGCTTTTAGCAATGATCATTCCTTTCTACTTTCAATCAGCAAAAGTTTCCAGATCATTTTAAAGGTAACAAAATAATAATAAAAAATACATTGCTTTAATATAAAGATATTACCAGAGCAAAACTATCTGTCTAAATAAAATTACAGATTATTGTATCAGTTTAAGATGAGCAATTTTTCTCTAAACCACTGAAACAATTTATATGAATGCTCAAATGAAATGTTATGTTTGTTATGTTATGTTTATTATACTTGTATGCCGCCCTATTCCCGAGGGACTCAGGGNAATCACTGACAACCTAAGACTTGTTTCTGCTGGCACAGTACTTGATCAATGTAATTCTCATCAATCACTCTAACTAAAAAGCTTTCCGAAAGGGGTAGGAAAAGTTTTTGCACTCTGCAAACCTCGGGAAAACGGGCCCAGTTTTTTCAAATAAAAGGCATGAATAGCCTTGGGGAGGCTTGCAAAGTACTCCTGAGGGGGTGGGGTGGGGGCAACAAAGAGCAAAAAAAAGCCTGTTTTTCATCCAAAAAATTATGGAGGCTTATAGAGTGCTGCTGGGGGCTGGGGGGGGGCGGCCCATTTTTTGCTCATTTCTGCCCTCCCCAGCTGTCTGAAAGCCTCCATAAGGGTATGTACAGCCATTTTGGGGAAGGGACGGGGCTTCAGGAGGCAAAAAAATGCTGTATTTGATGTATAAGACTCCGATTTTCAGCCTCTTTTTTGAAAAAAGGTGTGTCTTATACTCCAAAAAATACGGTAATCACTTTAATGTAAACAGACTTTGGTTAAGAAGGGACAAAATAACCAGATGTATTGTGAAAAGCAAATCTTCTAGTATAAGACACACCAAAGTTTTGAAGAGGCAATTTTTTTAAAAAAAAAAACTTTTTGCACTGTGCAGACCTCCTGAAAACGGGCCTGGGTTTTTCCACACTCCAAAATAGGGCATGCATAGCCTTTAGGAGGCTTATAGAGTGCTCCTGGGCAAGAGGGCAAAATTGAGCAAAAAAATGGCCCGTTCTTTTGCTCATTTCTGTCCTTCCCAGCCCCCAGGATCACTCTGCAAACCTCCTAAAGTCAATGCATTTTCGTGAAGGGGGGCGGGGTTTTGGAAGGCAAACAATTCTGTATTAAGTGTATAACATGCGCCCAGATTTTCAGCCTCTTTTTTGAGGGAAAAAGGTGTGTCTTATACTCCAAAAATATGGTAATTCTTTTTTCTGGTTTGGTGGATCAAGCTGTGGTTCCTCAGTTGATCCAATTCCAATTTCACCAAACTCA